AAATTCACATTCTAAGGTCACCAAAACAATAAACATAAAATTTCATTAAAACATTGCTAGCTAATTATGAAATCCACCACTAATAATATTCATTTATGCACAGTAATTAGTATACTCTCTAATTCAATACATTTTACAATATATTTATTAAAAAATTATCATTTTTAAATTTAAATTAAAAGTATAAAAACTTAAAATTATAAATTGTAATAACTAAACTGATAGTTGTTACCGAACATATTAGACTAAAAAGTATACTAATAATTTTCCTTTATGTATATATGGTACCGGTCCTTTAAAAAAGTCACCATTATCCATATACCATATGATTTTCTCTAATAGGTCATTTACAAAGGCATATGGTTCCTCTTAGTAAAACCTCCAAAATATATGAATCCAATGGTCACCATTATCTAGAAAAATTTTATGTTGAAATATAAAAGACACAATTTCTTCATATTATTCTCTTAGTACTTTTTCAGTTATTTTTACTTTACTTTTTCAAATATTTATCTTTTAACTCCATCTCTCAACTTTTTACTTAGCAATTGATTATTATATTTATTTTTCTATCCTATATTTATTCTCTCTTTCTATTTCAAAATTAATAATTTATTTTTTATTATTATTTCTCCCCTTACCCTCCAAGGAGCAGTTGTGTTCCATATGTACAATAAAGACAAGATATGATTCTAAAATAAGATCGTCCTTTGATTAATTTATTGATGATTTGAGAATTAGGGCCATTGTATTCTATTAGACAAAACAACATAGAAATAATAAGAATTTGTTAAAAGTAATGAAAGAGTCGAGAATAATAAAGTAAAGAAATATGGGTGAAATAGGAACTGTAGAAAGAGTATTTATGTACAAACTGGTGGTATAGAACAGGAAATTTCTATTCTTAATGAATAACATATCTAAGTTCTATTCAAAGTTAAATGGTAGAAATTCCTATTCTACAATTAACTATGGGACCATAATGAAGGTGGGTCCCACACTTTTTTTGGCTGATACATTAGCATGTTTTATAATTAAGATACGACTTACTCACCAAATGTACCAAACAAATTAAAAAAGATTAAGATATAGCTTAGCCAAAAATATTTTAATAGTTAGCATATTTTATACAGCTTAGTTATTAATCTTAAATAATTGTGTGACCCATGCTCTTGTTATATAATTATGGTATTTATAGACTGAATTGTAGTAGTATTTTTGATATAGTTAAACAAAAATATTATAATTACAATATCACGTGACATTATAAATTTATAACATAATGTGTCGTTATATAATTAGTTCTTTTCATTTAGAGATTCATTTATAATATTGTATATATCTATTCATTTAATACTACATTATATTTATTTAATATAATGTTATGATTGTAAACTTATAATCCTATATGTAAGATTGTATTTATAGCATTGCTGATAATTAAATTATTTATATTTCTATATTAATTTATTTTGTATTCAATTGTAATTTTTAAGGATTATCTTTCAATCATTTTACATTTTAAATACTGGTTATGTATTAAGGATTTATTTATGCCCATTGAGCATTTATTAAGGATTTTTTAAAACTTTTTTAGCATTTAGTTCATTATTTATTTATTTAAGAATTTTAAGAATAATTTTGTTGTTACAACAGTCAAGATTACGATTCACCTTGTAATAACCTTAAGTTTCACTTGTTCAAATCCTGGTTCATAATATTGATTTGCATTTCGTTTGGTTTGATTAAAGATGGGAATGGCTAGTGGATTGGATACATTATCCTGGCAATCATATGAAGCTGAGCTGTATCATATGCTTGGTATTCACTTACAAAGAGCCATGCTTGTTCTTTCCATCGTTTGCATATTTCTTGTTGTCATTTGGGCAAATATAAAGTACATTCTGATTGCGGCTCGCTAAAATGCTATAATTTCAGAAGAAGCTGGAAAATTTATTACTTTCATGATCCCCAGCCTCTTTGCATATGGTCCTCTGCAATGCCTGGTCAGGTTTCTTCAAGCCCAAAAAAAAGTCTATCGAATGCTGCTATGCTCTGCAATTACAACTGTAGTCCATGTTATCTTGTGTTGGACTTTGGTGACAAAATCGACATTGGGAGTCAGAGGAGCTGCCTCGGCAAATTCTCTCTCTCTTTAGTTAAATTTATTGATGTTAGCGCTTTATGTCAAGTTCTCTTCTTCTTGTGCCAAGACTTGGACGGGTTTTTCAAAGGAGGGTATGCGAAACCTCTACAGTTTCCTCCAAATTTCCATTCCTTCCGCTCTCATGTTGTGGTAAATTTCCTAATATGGTCTAAATATCAAGGACATTATATAGATGCATTGAGAATGGGAATTCATTTTTGACTTTTATCAGTGTGATGCTTATCAACAGGTTCAAGGGATGGTCATTTGAAGTGTTGGTTCTTCTCTCTGGTTTTCTTCCTAACCCAAAGTTAGAAACATCAGTGCTTACAATTTGGTTAGTATATTAAATAAGAAGATATATATGAATTTCTTTTGAAAACCTTGTTTTGTAATGTCCTTAATAAATGCTAGATTCATTAGAAGTATTGAAGTTTTTCCTAGTTCAGACTAACTTTTTTTAGATCGTATGGACTAAAAAAAGACATTTCTGCTCTATATGTTGGCATTCTTAAAAGAGAATCTATTTATTCAACAGCCTTAACAGAGCAGCAGTGGTTTGGACAATCCACTTTGGATTTAGTGGTGCTGTAAGTTATGTTTAATTTCCTCTTGCACACAATTCATACCATACCAAAACTTTTGCTAATAAAACATAGATTTTCGTCAGCACACTGATTTATATTTACTCCATTCTTCTTAGCACACGGGTATCCCATGAACTTGGTGCTGGCCAACCTCAGGCGGCAAGGTTAGCTGCAAATGTTGTCATATTCTTGGCAATCATAGAGGGTTCAGTCCTCGGAGTTGTCTTGCTACTGCTAAAGAATGTTTGGGCCCATGCTTTTAGCAATGAGAAGGAAGTGGTAAAATATGTAGGAGCAATGGTGCCTATTCTTGCTGCTAACAGTTTACTTGATGCAATTCAAACAGTTCTTACGGGTAATTTTTCATGCATTCTCCAATTCCATGTTTTTCACAATCTTGTTCTTTGGAATTAATGTATTGTCAGACTTTCTCGGTCTCCAGGCGTTGCTACAGGCTGTGGCCGCCAGAAACTTTGGACATGGATTAATCTGGGAACCATCTACTTTCTAGGGATTCCTGTAGCTATATTGCTAGCTTTTGTTCTACACCTAAAAGCAGAGGCTAGCGTTCAATGTCTTTCCTCCTTACCACCAACTTTTGTCCATGAGTACCAAGGAATTGTAGTTGTCCGTGTATCCTACATGCAATCTTTTGCTTCTCACCACGTTATAAAAATATGGACTCTAGCTGGGGATGGTAGCTGCGTTCTTTTCACAGGCCTTAATTTTTCTGATCATTACAATTCGGACCTACTGGGAGAAACAGGTATGGAGATAATTTCACACCTAAACCTATTCATGTTTCTCCACTTATTTTTTGTTTTTGATGCTAATCACATTCAATCTTTTAGGCAAACAAGGCTGCTAAGAGGGTCGATGCTTCCAAAATCCCTGGGGCTACGAGACCTCAAGGTTGAAATATTAAGGAGCATTCTGGGAAGGTTGTTCCAGGAATTCCCTCATTCCTCGTGATGGAATAGGTTGAACAAGTATTCACGAGTGCACATCATAAGCTACAGTTGCACAGGGTATATACGCATCTAAACAATCATCAGCAGGCGGACAATTCTATTCCAAAAGAAAATTTCCACTCTTGAAAAAGAAAAAAAAAAAATACATGCCTTGTGTAATCTGCAAGCCATTCTCAAGCAATTACAGATGATTGAGATGGACTGGCAGTAACATTTATCTAAAGCAACATCAGGTGAACTGCGTAGCTAATAGAATACAACTTGAAAGTTAAATCAGCCGAAATCATCAAACAACCTATTCTCGAGCATCAGCTATCATCTTTTTCTCTCTTTTTAAAATGGAGAAGAAAAACTTCAAAATTTTGCCTTCCCAGTTCCCAGTGGCTAATATACATAGTTCAAATAAAATTTAGAAAGAAGTCATTCTTTTCTCTCTTTCTTTCTATTATTTTGATCCCCAACTAAAATCCTGTAAATTAAAAATTAAAAAAAAAAAAAAAATCAGTTTCACCAGTAACTGGGATACCTCTTAAATGTAAAGCTAAGAAAAGAAAATCCCAACAGATGCAGAGACAAGAATAGAATGCAGACTCGTAAATGATTAATGCACTCCAAGGAAACTGGATACCTCTTAAATGTCTGCCAAGCCAAAACGTAACTCTTGAATACAAATATGTAGATTCCCTCAGTCATTGTGTTGGAATTCAAGATCTAGTTTTCTTTTCAGATGAGATCTATCAGCACTGCAGAAGAATATTAAAAGAAATCAAACTTGGACATTAAATAAAAGAATATCTATTCAAGCTAAACAAATATAATTCTTAAATTATTCTCCATAAAACGAACATGACACTGAACTCCTTTTCTTCTCCCAACGTCAATCACATAGAAAGGAAGCTTCAGCAATTACTATTCCATGATCCAGGACCCAGCAACAAAATCCAGTGGAGATATTGTATTATAATACAACACTAAATAGGAAAACCCTCTTTCTTCCATTTCTTTTTGGTTTTTAAAACTCTATAATTGTCAGAAACTAGAAGGTGGAAGTAAGACCCTTCATCTAATTAATGGTATGCTCATATTAATGATTTTATCTTTTAATTTAAATTCATTGTACACATTGACTACTCTGCAGCTTTATCTTTACCTTAGTAAATAAATTTCAACCTTTTAATATATGAGATAGGATCAACTTACATGGTGTAATAAGACTTCCAAGTCTTACATAATTTATTAACAATGATTTGACAAATCTAACAGCTGAGATAATTGCTCTATATTTATTTAGTACGTTGATAAATATATTACTAATATTATTATCATTTCAATGGTTGGATTTGTGAAATCAATGGCTGATAAATTATTTAGTCTTACACACATACACATCTATGTGGATCCTAACTCTAAATATACACCAAGTCAATGAGATACAGGAAAGACAGTAGTAAAACAAGCTTATGGAAGTATTCCACTACATTAACATTCGACAAAGATTCCTCCATTTTCAT